GACAACTTTGGAAGGATTTTGAGGGAAATGCCGAAGCGCAAGAACTAGTAGAAAAAAAGCGAAATAGATCTGTTTGCTTAACGGAAAAATAAATGTCAGAAATATGAGAATGAAAGGAAAATAACCTTAATGATGATGAAGATAAGGAAAAGAAAGAACATTTTTTTTTGCAAAAAGGATGAGCAATTTTCTGGACCTATAGGCTACGTAATTCAGCTGGAGACATTATGCATAGAGACAGACAGCACAGAAGCAAAATCCAAAAAGAGCGCTAGTTTTACGTAAATTTTAAACAATTACTGCATGGCTGCCTTGATGTGGAAATCATCTACCTTCGCTCCCAGTATTGGCTTGAATCGCATACGGTTCGTGTACCTCTTTGTCGGTTGCATTCCACCTATATCCTTACACATTTGAGAGTACGAATAACTCTTCAAGTCCAGCATACTATAAACTATTTTCACAAATAGTTTAGCCACAGGTTTCAAGATCATTCGACAACTGAGGATAAGCACCACTCCTAGAAATTAGTTTTTAAGATTGGGAAACTTGGAGCACTCAAGAAAAGAGATACCTATGACAAATCTCAGAACATATTGGTGGATGGGCGCATTCACATCCGATTCAGCCAGACTCACAGAAGCTTCTGCACCACCCAAATGAAAAATTCGCCCAGCCCAGATAGCTCCCGTTCCGGATAGAACCGATATTACCTTTAATGGATAGTAATGTAATCTTACATCATGTTTAACACAACAAATTTCGCGGATCGACTACTTAGTTCAACACTTCACAGATTGCTTTATTGGCAGCTTTTATTTCATTAGAACCATTTTACCGCGCATGAATCATTCAGACTTTTTGATGTCATAGCTATAGCTTGATGTTTAGCAAACAATGACATCAGTAAATTTCGAATTTCAGTAAGATAGAGAACTGATCCTACCATCATTTCCGAATTTAGATGAAATCATGGTAAGAAAAGAACCTGATGATGGGATTGTTCGAAGATAAAATAAGCGACTACGAGCTACTTTGAGTGGGATAGTTTTTAGTGTACTTGATTAGCCTAAAAGCGAAAAGAAAATTATAAGAAT